TAATCTATTGTTCGGTTTATTTTATTGACTAACATATCGAAAGAATCTCTTCTATGAGATTTGTTATTTAATCTAGTCATACAGTTGACTAGAATAAAAAACAAAAACTAATTAACAGATAGATTAATTACGCAATTCATTTTAGAAAAAAACCTTGTTTGAGTATTTTTAAATAAAAAATATATGTTTAAAGTTTAAACAAACCTAAACTTGTCATAACAAAATAAACCATAATGGAAATAACAACATAAGCAATAAGAGAACCAGCAGGTCCTGATGATGCTAATACTTGACCAGAAGCTAAAAATAATCCAGTACCAATTGTTCCACCTAATGCAATCATAATCATATGCCGTTTTTTTAAATTTCGATGAAGATTTGTTTTATTTGGTGGTAATGAAATTTTATTATCATCAATATTTGTTTCAATATTACTTGGTGCATGATTATCTATACTTGTTTGTGATATAACATTTATCTAATTTATCAATTTAAAAAGAAAAAAAAAGAACTTTTTTAAAAATAAAATCTTACTTGAATATCATCAACCTTTGTGTTGCCATCTTGAAAATCAAAAGATGTTGATCGTCTTCTTGACATTTATTTCAAATTGTATCAAATCTAAAAAATAAATTTTCTGTTCATGTTTTTCTTCTTTCTATTCAATATCATTTTGTGATTCTAATCGAGAGATGTGACGAAGAGAAAAAAAAGTGGCAGACAGTGCTGAACTTTCCTTTTTTTTATTTTACGGTCCTTTTATTTGTAATAAAAGATACGATCTTGGCTGACAAACACTGAATATTTTCTAAAACTGAAAGATGCACATTCCTCTCCGTTCATACTCACATCCCTGCTTTAATCATCTATTTTATTTAGTTATCAACCTTTAAAATGAAATGTAATGCGTAGTCAACAATGAGACAACAAAAAACTATCAATATATATATATTCATGCACTTTGTTCTCTTTTTCATATCTTCAGAAGAAACAATAAAACAAAGATAAAGTGTGATATCAAAAATTTATTATCATTTAATACTAAAGTTGTTTTTTCAACTTACACTGCATAAACATTAGGCCATCGAATGATATCTCAAATTGCAAAAATCGCATCAGTTTTAGTAGTAAACTGTTAGTTAATCGTTCAAAATGACCGCTAAGCTGCACACACAACTAGAAAAATCTAGTGTCAATTGCTAATCATATTATTTTCTCCTTTTTCATACAATACAGCATCTCATACCATTGTCTAACATATAAATAATTATTAGTACACGTTCAGCTGCAAGACAAGTACAAAAACTAAAACGAAAATATATGTCACTCCAACGCTATAGTTTTACAAGTTACTGTTTATGTAGCTCTCAAATAATGTCTAAGGTAATAAGAGCCTGATAGTCAAGATCATTTTTCTTCTTAGCTTGGGTGTGGGTGTGGGTGTGCATTTGGATATTAGTCTTCTCTTCACACCTATCCCTATACCCATACTAGCATCCAGCATCCCACTCTTAATAGAGTCACTTAATAACATTTGGAACATTTCCGACACTTTTTCGCTATTTTTTCTTTGATATGTTATCTTTCGACCTAATTGATAATATTGGATATGGGTATTTGAAGAGCAAGACATCCATACTCACACCAGCCACACTCAAGACTGAAAAATCAACAGTAACTCAATGTATTATCATGGTCTTAGTTGAAGCAATGCTATTTGATCTAGTTGAGCGACGTGTGTCTCTGAGTAGTCATCAATACGAATATCGTTTGTTTATACTTTTACGCAAGCCAATAAGCAAATACCTTTCATTTCGATCAATTTTAACAAAATCATATTGAAATTTTGGATTCGATCTAATTTAGTGCCAAGGAGTGCAATTCATTGCATCTATTTGTACAAAAGTTATGGATACAGTTCTTTAGGTAGGATTCTGCACATCAAATTGTATTGACATAATTATTTATTATTATTATGGGCCTCGTCTTTTCCAACATGATACTATTTTCTTCTGTCAATCGACAAATGCCACGTATATTTCTTTCAAGAAGACAAATTTGAATTCTTTCTCTTTCTATGAATCAACACACATAAATCAAGCATATCAAAAACTGCCAATAAGGAATAGTTTCATTTTATGTCAAAGAACAGGAAATATCTATCTAAATATTAGTGCTAGTACAAGGATCTATTTTTTTGCTGTATTAGTGTCTTTCGAAGATCAACGGTCGTTTTTTCCTGGCAATAATTTGATGCATTAGGATGTTGTAAATGTCTGCTCGTAATCTTATTGTACACATATCAGATAAGAAAAGGCAGTAAGCAACCTATCTTAAGTACTCATTTTTGTTTGTTCTCTGTTGTTTATATGATGTATGTATTTTCTTTTGCAGTTTGAGAGTCGTACTTAAATTTCCAGCTTTGTTATATATTTTCACATGTCAGTATCTGTCCCAAAAAAGAATGGCCATGGGTATTTTCGGAATAACTCAAGAGCAGAAAGAGCTAGAGAGCTGCGATTTTCACTAAGTCTTTCAAAGAGTTGATTGCGGTTTCTTTAAGTTCCATAGGAACTTACATATCTAAACTATGTAAAAGATACTCCGAAGGCTTCTCAACAAAATGACTCAAGACTTAGTTTTTTAGATTTTTTGTTCTCGAATAGCACTCATTTTTGTAAAATCTATGACATTAATTTTCTGCAGCATTAGTAATCGTAAAAATTCACAGCAAAATACATAATAAGCAACGTTTTAGGCCGCAGCGAACTATTATGTGGATGATGAACAACAATCCCGTGTACGCGTAAGTAAAACCAAGAATTCACAAAGAATGAAAAGACAAATAGAATATTTCAAATTTAGAAAAAAAACAATATAATTACTTGCACTTCTATGGTTTGTACTAATATATATCAAAATAGGTAGACTCAATTTTTTCATGAACTGTGCGCCTGAAATTCAAGTTTTTCCATATTTTCTATGAAATTATTAAAACTGTTCATGTATTTTGTCGTCTACTTTCATTATGCTAAGCAGTATTTGTACTTCGACTTGGCAAGATCTATATTTTACAATTTTCCCGTGACCAATATGCTCTGGATAAATTCATTCTCGTATAAAAAGTGTTTCATGTAACTGAACGGATTCTTCTCATTGCAGCCATTTTTCTTCCCTGACAGTAGCTGCATACATCAACGCTATTTTTCTACAAGTAATAGTTTTTTTCTGTTAGATTTGAATCGAAAAGGATAAAATAATGTAATGGCGGAATGGTGCGTCTCACACATAAACTCTGTTAGTCAGTAATAATTTAGATGATAAATTTATAGCATGTTCACTGAGCATCACTTATATAATAGTTCGCTGAGGCCTGAAACGTTGTTTATTATGTATTTTGCTGTGAATTTTTACGATTACTAATGCTGCAGAAAATGAATGTCATAGATTTTACAAAAATGAGTGCTATTCGAGAACTAAAAAAGCTAAAAAACTGAGTCTTGAGTCATTTTGTTGAGAAGCCTTCGAAATATCTTTTACATAATTTAGATATGTAAGTTCCTATGGAACTTAAAGAAACCGCAATCAATTCTTTGAAAGACTGATGGTAACGAAACCCTGAATCTACAAGGATTTTCAGCATGTCTTAGTACATATATAGAGTACTGATTTACCTACGTAATCGTGAAAATCGCAGCTCTCTAGCTCTTTCTGTTCTTGAGTTATTCCGAAAATACTCACGGCTGGGGTGTGGGTGTAGGTATGGATGTGGGTGGGTGTTGGTGTGAGGTGTGGGTGTGGGGTATCGGTGTGGGTGCGGATGAGGGAAAGATCAACACCCACCCGAGCACCCACCCACATTTACACCCACACACACCCACATCCACACCCTCACACTCACACCCACAGCCACACACACACCACACCTCATGCTCATCCACATCCACAGTCTTCTCTTTGTACTAAGTGCGATAATGTCTTTTGCATAGTTGCTTAGGTAGTTTACGTTATACTAGACAATCATTATTAATAGGGAACATTAGATGTTTAGAAGAACAGTATCATCAAACAATCATTGATATTTTCATTTGTAAAAGAAATAAAAATAATTGGTATTTCAGCATTATTGGTCAACACGTTTCAAATGTCTACTTCTGTTGATAACTCCATGAGCTCATTTCATTTCATTATCAAATTAATCTTGTCTAGGACACAAAATAAAAAATGTAACATATCTAGAGAAAGTACAGTTTGATTCAAATAAGAAAAATGGTATTGCAATATGTAAGTTTTAAAAACGATCAATATGTTCATTTCACTGGGATCGACGTACGACACGTAACCAAATAGCATTTTTACTAGATAAAATTGTTAATTGGCCCAATTGAACTGGAATCTAGAACTCAACTAATAATTAGATAGTCAATGGTAAAATGATCATTACGTACTTCAGTCTTGTTACATTTCTGTATTTCAACTAGACGCAATGCTTTGACTATCGCAAGTTTAGCTTCTAACAGTGCGAATCGCATGCCAATACAATTTCTATAATCACAAGTAGATGCATGATCTATTGATATATCAACAAGTATGAATTCCGTACTGTGGTCCATCACCAAATGGAAGATACGTCATTGGATGTCGTTTAGCTTTTTCTGTCGGTAAGAATCTGATAATATTACCAATATTCTCACTAAGAATATCTATGATTATGACATGAGATGTACCTTTCAGGTATGAATTTTTCCGGTTCAGACCAAGCATTAAGATCATGATGGATGGGATAAACGGGCACGCTTATAATGGAGCCTTTCGGTATGGCATAATTACCGAGTTGGTAATCTTTCGAGGCGACTCGCTCAGTTCTATCAAAAAAACACAGCCGTCGAAGGAAAATGAAGACCATCGAAAATTACCTAGTAAACGGTGGATACATTCGAAGTGTTCCATTAATAACCATATTCAAATATTGAAGTTGACTAAGTTTTTCATAAGTAACTTCATCCTAGATACAACGATAAGTTATTAGTCTTTCCAAGTTCTTGTCGAATTTCATTATAAAGTTTTTCTTGAATCACTGGTTCTGTTGCCATGACATAGAAAAAGAATGACATTAATACACTTGTTGTTTCATAACCAGCAACCAAGAAAACTAGAGCTTGACCAAGTATTTCTTTATCATTCAAAGCTAAAACCATGTTATGAGTTTATCTATAATAAAGCAATTGATTTTTACTCTCTTTAAGTATTTCGGATTGTTGTTCTTGTTTATCAGTTTGCTCTTCATGCTTGACTTCTTCTTCATGATCAACCATCATTTGAATAAAATCATTTCGTCTTTCCAAATGTTGTCGACGTTATGCTAATATTTGATTAATTAATTGTGTTAAATAGTTCATAGTATCTCTTAGTAATATTGAATAACCTTTCGCACTCAAATGACGAGCTAATCGAGGTGAAAAAACTATTTCCAATCAAAAAAATTATAATCTACATAACATGTCTTCTTCTGCAATATACTCACAAAAGACTAATAAAAATAGATTGACCGCACTTAATGAAAAAATTTTTTTTAAATGATTGACTAAAGTGATATTTTCATTCTGCAAGGAATTTGTTTCAATACCAAATAGACAAGAAGCAATATTATCAAGAGTATATTGACCATTCAGCCTATGATTATAACACAACTGCACTAAAAAATAATCACATTAAGCAAGAGATAGACATATACATTTTGACATCAAATATTTCTTGTTTATCAGCATATTCAAGAAGACGTTTGTTATACATGTCACTAATTTCATTCATCAGACCGTACATCTGAAGAAAATGATTAGCAAAAATAAATATTGTCGTACAGAGACATTTACTGCTTTGAGTTTTGTTGTAGAGAACACTGGTGAAACGATGGATCGAGCATTTTCCCATTGTTCATCTTTTAGCCCTGTAAGACCATGTTCCATGATACCTGTAACACCTTCCATGGTCTACAAAAGCAGAGAGATGTTCAAATACTGATAGAAAGGTAATTACTAATTACTCGTTGATTAATAAACACATTAGAATCTTTGATTAGAACGTTTTGAAGAAGATCTGGATCTGAGAGAAGAATAGCTGGAGTAGTTCCTTCGAAAATTCTATAATAAAGTTTTCAAAAGTTTCTATCCAAATTAGTATAATGCAGCAAACATCAAGTGATCAGTACAGATATTGTTGAACTTCATATCCACACTTTGTTGCATTAATATTTACTTACCCTATGATTTTCCCATATTTCTGAACAAGATTGACGTCGTTCGCATGTAATCCCTGGATGAATACGACTATTAAATTAATATATCATTGAAGAGACATATGAAAGTTAATACCTTTCGCATGACATTAAACATTTCACCGAGTATTGGAATAGGTGCCGGAGCAGGCATTCCAAGACGATGAAATATATTGTTTGTACGCAGATTGTAACTAAAATTCAGGTCATTAAATTTTCATTTTGAACTAATAAATGAGTCGCAGAATATCCACACATAATAAGCAAAGATAAATATGAGTACAATCAATAATATCAATGTAATTGGATCACCAATTCGAAAATAAGTCATTTTTATGTTTGTTATCAGTAATAAATCATAAAAAGAACTTTTGCTTCTGCATATTTTTTGCAGCATTCTTTTACTGAGTTGTTGTTTTTTATGACGACGTCTCTTTGATGATAGTTTTAGTTGTGTGAAGCACGTTAATTCGGTTGTGTTTACCTTATTTCAATATTGACAGAAGACATCTACGTCAAGCACTGTAAGAATGAAAAAATAAAAATAAGATAAAATTTCGAATGTTGTGTTGTTGTTCTGATATATGGCTTTCGAAGATCATCGTTTTATTTCCCATTGTCTATAGCATAGCATTAACATTTTGAGAAATGTAGAGAACCTTATTTAATGAAACTTTTTTTTTCTATGTGCAGCTTTTGAAACCCTTCGTGTACATTATTATATCTCTAATTTGTTTTGATTTTTATAAGATATTAAAGATCCATGATGCAAAAGTAATTGGTGTAATAATAACTTATGTCAATTTTCAACTTAGAATTTGGATCGATGTGTAACTTTCTGTAATAAAATAACTTTTCTTTCAAATGTCGATAAAAAAAAGCTTTTACCATAATCCGTTCGAGACTAAAATGTGAAATATAATGAACCTGATGATCTTCATGTTGATTAAATTTCTAAAACGTAGCAGAATTAATGATGTCTCAGAAGAGAGCACATAGAGAGCTTCAAGTGTGGGACTGAACTTATCGATTCTCTAACAACAGCAGCGATTGTCACTAGAAGGGTCGCCGTGTAAATAAATCTAAAAAACGAGAGAGTTCTATTGTTCCCCTTGTTATTTGCATTTCTGGTCAGTCTGTGATGAGACAAGACACCATTGCTAAGATGTTTGTCACGGTCTGTGTGGGCAGGCTTCATTTTTCTCACCTTATCTTTCAACACTCTTTTTTAGATCGTGTTTCACAAAATTAAGATTGAAATAAGATTTGAAGGTATAATATTTATTGTACTAAATTCATTGATGCTCTTAATGGGTGGGTGTGGGTGTAGGATTTGGGTGTGGATGTGGATGTGAGTGAGGGTTACTTGAAGACATGTATCTAACATTCACATCCACGTCCGCCCACCCACCCCTCACCCACACCCACACAACGCTTCCAGAGAATTAAAAATAATAATCAGATGTTATTGTCTGATACTCAGCAGTCGGTGGTAGATGCAACAACTGCAAGTGCAATGAAGGGTAATACACAAGATAATGAGTTTCGTGTGTGTGTTGTCTTTCTTGTTCTTATTGTATTTTGCTTTGTTGTATTTATATCTTTCTGTCTTTTATTATGGTTTATCAGTTCCTAAAACTGACAATAAATTAGAAGCGAAGTTAAATGATCGCACTGCTTCATATCAGACCCTATAGTAATAGTCCCATCGGCGTCATCCTTTGAAAAACATTTCACAATCAATTTTCGTAGATGAGATGAGTGACGTATGACAAAGAAAGCTGTATACCAGTTACATCGACCACTAATTATCATGGTTTCTAATTTACACCGAATGGGCCATCGCATGTCATTGATAATATCATCACTATTTCCAAGTTTCAATTTACAAAGAGTATTGCGCGATAAAATTGATGTTAATAATTGTTTCAGGCTCTTGGAATCAGAGCCACTAAACGATATTGAAACTGTTTGTAAGGGAACATTTCATAATATATTTCTGAAATTCATCTAAATCTTTCTCACTTATGTAAATGAGAGTTAATGAACGTAGTCAACTGAATTGATCCATAAGAAAGTGACTAAGAAATAATCGAATTTGACCGGATGTCTGTTCTCTATCCGAAAGTGAAAGTGAAATAACATTTTTAGGATCAATAAGACGTGCCATGACACGTAAATCAGATCTTGACAAATAACGGAAGTCTAGTCGATAACGATTATAGTCATTAGTAAGTGAATAGAATTTTTTGCATACGCAACGCATTGAAAAGAGAATTGTTTCTATATCAAGTTCATCATAAATTCGATGAAAAATTTCGACCGGTAATATTTCAAGAGAAGATTTCTTTTAAGTAGACATAAATCGTTGTATGTAGAATGTAAAAGTGTAATATATTTTGTATTAACTAAACGTCGCAATTGTGCATCTACGGCATCCGTACGAGTTTTCTCTTCGGTCCTATCCACATCCCTTGTTATAAATGGATTGTGTATTATATACAGTTGAAAATGATGAAGATACTGTACAATAATTTTCTGGTAATAGAAATTAGCACGATAGAAGATATTTCATACGCACTATTCAATAACAGAAGAAACATCTGTTACACTAACACACTTATGATTAAATGTCTGAGAGATTCACACATGAATAATAGAGTGATGTTCAACCATATTTTTAATTTTATTAGTTGTTTTCTACGCGTTTACTTAGAAGACACTTGTCAGTGAAATCTCATCAAGAGTCAATCTTTGATTAGTAATTTCGGTAATTACTAGAATTTCATATTAATTACCGAAATTTCTCAGAAATTCCTGGAGAAAGGTTTTTTATTTTGGTTATGATTGGTTTTGAATGGCATTTTGGTAGTTACAACAGTTTCTGATATGTTCTAAAACTTACTTTTTGTATGTTTGTAATTTCCACAATACAAATGATTCGTAGGAAAATTCCCTTTTTTTAAAAATCTGTCTACTGTTGTATATGTTATGGGAACTAAAAAGTATCATTTTATTTTTCTTTTTATCTGCATTGATTTACTTCGAATATGATATAACATGGATAAAGAGATAACAATGCAGATTGTTGCGATTAGGAGTCGCTAATACATTAATAATGAATATTTTAACTTTGCTTTAAATTAATATCAATAGCACATGTTTTGGGCGACATTTTTGAGATTGATAAAACCCAACATGATTGGATGAAACTCTCTCGACAAATCAATCTATTTTTTCCGATCCTAACAAAAAAAAAGAATTGTTTTCTGATGTTAAGCCATTTTCGAAATATTTCCAAAACTAGCGCTATCTATAACAAAATTTTACTTATATTTTTAGAATAGTCTCTCATCAGAAAGAAAACCAAAGATATTTGAAGTTAGAAAAATTAACTTGAATTTCTATGAAAGTTTCATCACACTAACAAAAAAATGTAGTTAACTGCGATTACTCGCATGTTTTTTTTTTCATCTGACATATGACCATGTACTAAAAGAATCTATTCGCTCGACTTATTCGCTCAATGAAAAATAAATTGATAAATGGACTAAAGGTAGCGTTCACTAGGGTGAGTGTGGGTGTGGATGTTAGATACATGTCTTCAAGTAACCAATGGCGTAGCCAGGAATTTTTGAGTCATGAACAATTCATTAGCCGAACTATTTTGAGTTACGGGCAGCTAGGGGCAACCGTTATGATTTCAAAAATATCTATGGGCAATAACTTTTGGAGCTATGGGTAATGGCCCTACCCCTGGCTATGCCACTGCAAGTAACTCTCACTTATACCCATATCCACACCTGACACCTACATCCTCTTTATACTTTTTTGTCTTGTGTCAAATTGAACATTAGCCGCTCGAGAATCTTGTATACGCACACGAAGATACAATGAATTTTCAGCTATAATTTCTTTAATAATGGTATGTATTTGAATAGGAATCGATAATAAACATAGGATAAATAGAAGTTACATAGTGATGTTATTTTTTACTTCGCTGCATCAATATATAAGAAAATATTAAGTACACATATCTTATTATGATAATATGTCATGCAACAATACCCTTTTCTCTACGAACTCTTTTTTTTTCGAGATCAAAGTAATCTTGATTCATATCTGTAGTTATAAACAAAATACAGACAACAGATATGAAATTCTTTTTTTTTATTGTTGAGTAGATTTTGTATACTCTCGAATTAATATTTATATTATTTGCAACAAGACTACGTTTATCAAATGAAGATGCATTAGGACGATCACAGGGAGATTTGAATGACATTTGCTTCAAATAATATTATAGTTCGAATGATAAATAACGTTTTAGACTTTCATAGAGTATATGTGAAAATAACAAAAGAAAATTTACAGATGGTTTAGATGAACGTCAACAATGTTTTCATGAACATGATGACTTTGACTGTGTGATACTACTGTACTTCAAATGAAATAATTAATATTCGAAAAAGAAGTTTTTTTTTAATAAACTTCAACAGAATAATTAGAAAAAAGTCGAAACATTGAAAATAAATACGAATTTGAAGTGTAGAAAAACAAAAGATTTTATTCTTATACAAGATCATGAGACAAAAAAAAAAAAACTTTATTTCAATAGGATCGAATAATTTTTGCATAATAATTTGTTCATTAAATTGTTTTATATTTTTATTTTCATAGAATAACTAACAGGAGTAAGTTTTAGAGAAAATA